TTCATATTCTGTGTGGTCAGTTCACAGCAGTGATAGAAATTAATAATTTCCAACCAGTTTTATGGGCATTTTTACCTTTAAGCCATTTTTTTCTAAAAGTATGTACCATCTTTTGAGTCAAATTCTTGCATTTGGGCTGTTACCAAGCAAATGAAATCAGTATCAACTAAATTTATCTTAAATCTTTAGCTGCATTAGAAGTGGCATTTAGATGCATTTACACACTGTTTAATGCAGCTCTGAGGGACATGGAATACTTTAACCTGCATTTACTAATGCATAAATAATGTTTTGATATATTAAACATAAAACATTGAAAACTGATGTTTGAAATTATTTTAAAAATGACCTTAAAAGTACCTTGTATACCTTAAAAGTGCAATTTAAACCGCCAGTAGGTGGCAGCAAGTCACTGTTAAGGGAGTCATTGTGATTGAACCAAATCTTTTAAACGGTTGATTCATTCAGGAACAATACTCAGAGATGCAAAACAGCGCTGTGGCTGTGTTTGGAATGATTTTTGTTGGCGAAATAGAGCAAAAACAGGCAAATGGTGTCTAAAACGTAAGTCTCTTAATATTAACTTCTTGTTTATATTTGTTTCTGTTGTATAAAATCAATATCACATTTGTAATCATGCTGACTTTTGGAGAAAAAAGCGTCACTCTTCGTGTGATATTAACTATATGAAATTATATAAATATATACATTTTCTGCCCCATATCTTGAATTATGTTGAATGCATGAATGCATTTTAATAGACTGATTCATGCAGTGAAAGAACATGCTCTAAATGTGCACGCGCACTAGTCTAAACTACTAAGTTGTATGCGTGCACTCTGTAGGTGTGTTTTGTTTGCTTTTCGCGATATACTCGATAATATCAAATCGCACATCATTAAAACAATTACGATATTATCGCAAACCATACATATCGCACACCCCTATACTGTTTAGATTTTTAAAATGCATTGTCTTCTTATCGATCCACCAGTTCACATTTAAAGCTCCGCATGTTTGCAGGACAAAAACATGGGTCGATTTTTGCATTTGTCTGAAATCTAAACTAAACAACAGTTTTATTGAAAATGCACATTAATTCTCTGCCAGCAGGTGACGCTTTTGGCAGACCTATAACTATTTCCCCGGTAACGGCAGAACACAAAGCAGCGCAGCACCGGACTTTGAATGTGCAGCGCTAATCAAATCACAGCCTTTTGAAGGTTATTCGTCACATTCAGTATATCGCTTTGTTTTTGTCTTTCTGATGTGAGACTTTTATTTTGAAAGATGTGCATGAAAGCTGTTGACACTTTTTTTTTTTTTTCAGTTTAAAGGGGTCCTATTATGCTCTTTTACAAAGTCTTGATTTTTTTGGGGGGGTGTTAGAAAAGGTTCTCATACTAGGTTGTTCGAAAAACATTCTTTTTCACATATTTTACATTATTACAACACCTCTCTCCCAGGTCTGGCATGAACGGCTCGAATAGTTCCAGTATCAAATGAAGGCGAAATGTGCTGTGATTGGTTAGCTGGGCCAGTGTGTGTTGTGATTGGCAGCACTCGGCGCCTGGTCGGGAAATGACATGCCCCTTACCATAGCCGCCTGCGAGCTGCGAGCTTCAGTGTAAATATTGCATCAAAATCAAATCAATTTGAGCACGATTTAAACCTGGATGATTGTAACCACTCTAAGTTTGTCTGCCTTGGGAAAGATAGCATGTCTCCGACATAGTGATAACACTCGTTGCCTTCTCTAGTGCAGCTCAACCAGGTCTCGTCCCATTCGTCGATATTTGTGATATCACAAATCCCGGAAAATATGCGTTGTAGTCCAAACGAATCGTTCGTTGTAGTTTTTGAAAAGTGATTTCTGTTAAATAAAATATCTCTTTTTGAAGTGGACTTTGAACTTTGTAACTTTGCAGCTAACTTTATGCTCAGACAAACAGCAACATTACAGACTAGCTAAAGTTGAAAAAGTGAAAAAGCATAATAGGACCCCCTTTAAGTAAAGACTGCCTGAGAAAAACATGCTGTCCCGATTCAGTATCTGCGGTCAGATGAGATGTTGTCAGGCTTAATGTCATTCTCATTATTCTATCATTATTTTTTTTAACTTGTTATGAATTAAAAAGTCTCCCACCTCAGAAAAATGAACTATCCTGTCCTGTCAGACATTATACTGTGTCTGTCGCACTCTTCAATCGCACGCGCAAATACGGCGGCGCATGCAGTATATAATTTCACTAAAGCGCAAAAGAAACTACGAGCATGCAACGTGTGAAATAAAAGTAAAGTACCAATAAATAGCATAACCGGTACTTCGTGTGTTAGCTGGGAAGGATTTGCATGAAGGTATGATATATATTTTTAAGCAAATTATAAATATATAATTTGCACTTCTGTAGTTCATCTCAACAATTGAACTTCATTTCATTTGATAAATGATTTATATGTACAATGTATTCTCCATTTTTTATTAACTCAAAAACAAACAAACAAAAAAATTATAAATTTAGCTTCCTGTCAGCAATGATTATTTACAGGAAAACAGAATGGGAAAATTTAAGAAATTACCAATTCAGATAACTATAAACAAGTAGCAACTCATGTTATCGACACTTTTATCATATTTACAATTCTTGGGATTATTAGCTTGATTATTATTATTATTAGCTTGAATATCTAGCTTTTCTCTTTTTGAATTAAAAGGAGGACATTGTCAAGAGGCTGAAATATCCTCTCAACTCAAAGTCAAACTCACGCTTTCAGATTAGTCAAAGTCAAGTATTAGTCAATGTCTTTAATGACAGATGATATGAACAGCCTTCGTATAAGATTATACTGATTATTCTTGAGTTGCTCTTTCTTTCTTTTTTTTTCTTTTTCGAATATTTGTTTCACCTCTACCAATATGAAAATGCCAGAAACCTTTAGTAAATCAGGCCCCATGTGTCCAAGATGTAAGACTTTGCAACCCCTCAGGGAGGAGGACTTTTGCATCTCATGTTAAGAGGACAGTAGTACATACGTGTATGTGTGCGTGTGAGGAGCGTGTTTTGCATGAAGTTTTAAGCGTCTGTGAGGCACTTTTTCTTTTGCAGCCTTTCTAGTGTAACTCGCTGTAATTGGGTCAGTGGAGAGTTGGAGCGACTGGTCTCTGGTGCTTTATATTGCCCTCTGAGATGTAAAACTTTCATGAGTCCCCCCACCATGGGAATAGTGCCACCCTCATTGTTATTTATAAATGTATCCATTTTGCTACTACATGCTTTTTTTCTCTCCCTATAAGTCTAGGTCTCTTCCAGTGCATTAAAGGCACAATTGATGAGGACCAAGTCGGTGAAATATTCAGGTGCGCCATTACACACATCACAAACACACACTTCATAAGGAAGACATCAGTGTGGCTTGAAACAGGAGTTTAGATTCTAATCACACTTGACTTTGACATGTTAGCAGTATGACTGCAGTCGTGTCTCACCAAGCTCAGTTATGATCGGGATGTTTGATCCCGTGGTGATGGATGCCTGCCGCACTAAGCCGTGCACTGGACTGTTATCTGGAGATGACCTATCCATCCCCGGAGGTGTGAAACCTGGAAGAGAAAGAGGAAAACGACTGTCACATTTTACTCTGCTTATGGTGCCAAAACAGATTCAAGGATTGCAATGGTGACCAAACCAGTAGCATAACAGTCAGCCAATACAAATGAGATTTTATTTGTATAATGCTAAATGTAGAGAACATATTGCAGAGTTTGTGGTGTCAGGATACCACATGCTAGTCTAAAACAGTGAAATATAGATCCTCCACTTTTAAGGGTCAGCTCAGGCATATTTAGCATTTGCTGCCTTCCATCAACTAGCAGGTATAAATTTTATATGCTGTTCATTTTGTTACCATAAAAGTGGTGAAGTGGATCCTGAAAACCTTTTATGTGAAATGCCATGAAATACAAGCAGGAGTGACAAGAGTATGAATTCACATGACTTGACACTTTTGCATTTCCTCAAGCTGACAAGTAAACACTTTAAATCAGTAATGCTATATGCATAATGCATTGGCCCTGTTTTGACATCCATCGACTGAAGAAAAATGCAAGCGTATAGTTTTTACAGTGACAAACATAATGCAGGGAAAAGATTCAGGTCACAAAGTTTTCAAAGGGCTGCAGGATTCTGAACAGGGGTTATCCTTTTCAATGGGGAAGTTCAATAGACTAGCTCTCTCTGTAGCTCTAAACAAAAGAATAGAAAAACAGAGAGACTGTTTTAAGACTTTGTTTTAAATGTGCAGAGAATAATCCCATCTCCTGTTTTGTTTATTGTGAGGACATCAGATATGCAGTGACAGTCAGTGTCGACCATGTGGCATACTGAAAAGCATTTTTGCTTCAGCTGTGTGAAATGCCATGAAATACAAGCAGGAGTGACAAGAGTATGAATTCACATGACTTGACACTTTTGCATTTCCTCAAGCTGACAAGTAAACACTTTAAATCAGTAATGCTATATGCATAATGCATTGGCCCTGTTTTGACATCCATCGACTGAAGAAAAATGCAAGCGTATAGTTTTTACAGTGACAAACATAATGCAGGGAAAAGATTCAGGTCACAAAGTTTTCAAAGGGCTGCAGGATTCTGAACAGGGGTTATCCTTTTCAATGGGGAAGTTCAATAGACTAGCTCTCTCTGTAGCTCTAAACAAAAGAATAGAAAAACAAAGAGAGACTGTTTTAAGACTTTGTTTTAAATGTGCAGAGAATAATCCCATCTCCTGTTTTGTGTATTGTGAGGACATCAGATATGCAGTGACAGTCAGTGTCGACCATGTGGCATACTGAAAAGCATTTTTGCTTCAGCTCATAAATAAGAGCAATTTGATACCAATAAACAAGAGTAAGAGTACTGTTGATTGTACTTTGTTTTAAATAAATACATTGGTATTTTGCACTATAAAGCATCTAAACAATTAAATGACTGCATATACTTGCAAGAATATTCTGATATTTATCAGAATTTGCTCATATTCTGTCATAACCAGATTAAGACAATATTCTGATCTCTGGAACCAAATACCTGGTTACAGTGCCAGTATTAAGCAGAATTTTGGGTCAGAATATTAGATACCCACTGAAACTAGTGATAATTTCATTAACAAAATCAGTTTTTTATGGCTAGGAGATGAAAATGTCAGTGACATCATTAAACATTATATGTGACTGTATCAACAAACAATATTGTTGACCAAAAAAAGGACTAAATAGATTAAAAAAAATACAAACTTTACTGGTTACTGAATAAATGGTTACACAATACAAAACCTTTTTTGTTGTTTAAAAAAAAGTCATGAATATAATTTGAAACTATTGGAATTAATATTAGGAATATCACTGTTTCAGCTTTTGACATTTACCAATTTTCATAATGTAGAAAGTGTGTTTATATATCTGATAATATAATAAATCAGGACAATCAACAACCTTGATCAGTAATAATCATTTTGATAAAAAATTAATTGTGATTATAATTTTGAACCATTATGCAGCATGACTAAATTGACTTTCAATTGACTAAAACTAGACTAAAATTCCCAGACTTTTAGTCAACATTGACATTTAATTTAACAAAGGGGGGGGAAAAATGTATATATACACTATTATCTAAAGCCTAAGCACATTTCACTTGGTCTCGTGCAACTTTTATTGTTGCACATCGATTACACTCCATGAAGTTATGCGCCCTCCACACAGACATGCACACACACCTTAAAGTCATGCTCTAAATTCTGCCTTGTGTTGTAGTTTTCAATGGTAATGCATTATGTAGCTTGGACTTTGTGTACTTTATTTAAAAAAAAAACCCTAAAGCACTGCTAGTAGTGCCCTGTGTAGTACTTTCTCCTGGCAAAAGGCTAGCTGATTTATTCAATAACACCTTCTGAACAAGTTTAACAAGCCCCACTGAAACAGTGAGGTGCTAAGGGCAATAATATTTATCAAGATGATGTGATATGATGTAATTTGTTAAACCTGTATTTCATAGAGATTTCAATATGATCAGTTTTTAAATGCATTTATATATAGATTCTTCTGCCTTAAAGACAATTAAATTATGATGTTTAATTATGTAACATTACTAAGAATCATAATAAATAACTATATGCCCAGTTGGAACTACAAACTGAAAGAAAAATGTGAATCATTTGTTATTTCTATCGCTGCAAAAGTTTACTTGGGAATAATCTGAGAACAAGAAAACTGTTCTTTGTGAGATAAAATATGTTCTAATACGCTCAGTGTTAATTAAATAAATCTTTATTACACACCATTGCTCGGCTGTTGATCATGCCAGATGTTGAGTTAAATTAATTGAGAGCGTAGTAATGACCAAGCCCACATGGAATCTGTGCACAGATTTCCACAGAACTAGAAATGCCCATCAGTCACAAATTTCTACACATCCCCTGCCACTCCTGCAATTTTATTTAATAATTCAGCTAAATTGATTATGCTTTCAGTAACCAATAAGGGTGTAGTACTCTCAACACTTGATACACTTTCCAATGTTTAAACCCACAGAATTCCCCAAAATCAGCACAGACACTGCAAACAGATTCCTTCAAGGTCTGATAATGACCTATTCTTCAACAGTATAATTAAAAGCTATTATTCTCCACAGAGGGATGAGCTCTTCCTCAACTCTACACACCATTCAGCATGAACATTTCATCTGAAAGCTGTCATTTTGACGTTTTAAATCCATCTTTCTATGCAAAAAAGTGGATACTCAATAATGGTTTAAATGTTAATTGTTGTGGGCCAGCTTGTGTGGTGTGTGTAATTTACGTAATGAAGAGCAGCTGAGAAAGTGAAGCTGCTGATTTGTACAGTCTGTTTAATGATGATGAATCCTGATGGGCACAAGAGGATTACATGTTTATCTGAATGCATAAACAATCTGTTCGAGTCAATTTGTCGGCAAACAAATCTGCCGCGGTCCAGCAATTGGAGGCAAATACGCAATCGGCACAAAAACGTTAGGGAGGCTTTTTTTCAGAGCTGTGATTACAGGATATAATAGACTTGCTCAGAATTGCATGAATATTCTAATAATGAACATACATATGCATGAAACAGAAATTCTGAAATTTTGTTTCTTATTTAATGTTTGCATAAAGTGTCTAAATGACTGATTTATTGTGTTTCTTAATGCACAAACATATGTCATGCTTTTATTCTTTAGTAATTGATGTCCTCCCTTGTTTTATCTAATCATTTGCGCAGATAATTGGACCTTGTTGTCTTTGAAAGCACATAGTAGATGACTGTTTTCACAGTCTAAAGCTCTTGAGGAGTATTCTCTATGCACTGAAGTATTCTTGGCCACTCCTTACCTTGGGAATTAGCCTGCAAGACCCCAATGCTGTCATCAAACTGCATAGATTTGATGTTAAGAGTTGCCAAGATGCATTCCTTGTCCTGCAGTGAAGCATCGTCGATATTGTTCTGATTGGCTGACAGGATAACGCACATGTCACAGAGGTTGATGTTGACGGCCCTTAAATCAGCTCGACTTAATGGTGTACCCTTAAGCGGAGAGAGAGAGGAAAGAGGAAGAAAGGGAAAAACAAATTAAAGACGGCAAAGGAGCTCAGGGAAATTAGTTAACAAGTATTTACTTTTCTAAAGGCAGTGACATTCAGCTGATCTAACTATGTGCTGAGGGAAGAAAAGATGTAGTCTAATCTAAAAGGCTAGCCTTTGCTGACGGCAGCTTTTTGGCTGTGTTTTTCATACACAGTCAAGTCAATGCTAACAAGCACTAAAGCAGGAAGCAAAGCCTGAGATTCACACGGCCAAGAGAAACCTGCTGTCAGAACATCAACACTTGAAATCAAATTGTGTTGGCACTTTTCAATACAAAAAGCTGGTAATGTCTTACTCCTTCAGTCACATGAATACATAACATTTACAGATATCTTTTTTTCTCCAAGTGTAAAAACTCTATGCTCATTTTCAATGCGTGTACTCACAGGTAAGATGGAGACTTTGGGGAAGTTGTGAAGGGTTTCCCACTCTCTTCTCAGATAATCTAATGAGCCCACAAATACGATGGGCTTTAGCTCGTGGTAATGGAAGTTGCTTGCTCTCAAAGGCATCACCAAGTTTCGAAGCCCCACTAAAGCTGACGTGACATCTCCAAATATACAGACTACTACATGTCCACTTAAAACCGTCATGGAGGCCTCGCTGCGTGTCTGTGATGAAAAAGCCAGAAACAAACACAACAGTTACAATCTCATCAGCAAGAATGGAATACGAGCTCATCTATTGCCATCCATACAAAAACAACTTGAGCTGCAGGAGTAGTGTATATATTGTTTAAAATGAAAAAAGGACAGAAATTGTACATGCTGTATTTAACTGATTGAAATTTAATCACATAATAGCAATAAAGTATAATAGCACCATATGGAATTGTGAGAAAAAGCACATTAAACAGCAATAATAATTAAAGAGAGGAAACAATATCATTATAGAAAATGGCAACAGCATTTATGCATGTTCAAGCACATTATCATGAGTAAAAAACATCTGTTTAGGACTTCACTCGAAATTCAATTCATTTAGTAAAAGCAAATATATACTTACCCACAAAATAATTATCATATTATTATCAAATAATAATCATTATATTCTTACACTTTGGTTCATTGTGCACAAGGCAAATAATACACAACATGAACAAAAAGGTTTGGGATGTTTTTCATTACTTTCATGATAGGGGAAAAATACAATGCACTTGCTGAAAATTGCATACCTATTCTAATAATAAGCATAGATATGTAAGTTCACTGTGCAAAAAAGACAATAGCAAAATTAATTTTACACTTCTCAAACATTTAAAAGTTTACTTGTGTACACTGAGGAGTCAGTGATGTCTGTAAAATTGTGATTCCCTAATGTAAAACACTAAAAATTATTCATATTTTATATTTAAAAAAATTATATATATATATATATACACAGTAGTAAACATTTAACATTTGAAGTGAATCAAAAACGTTCATCAAAGTTGTCCTAAGACCAGAACAAATTTTGGTTTTAGGACAACTTTGATGAAAGGTTTTGATCCACTTCAAATGTTGACTACTGTACCCAGCTATGGAGTTTTTGTCTCTGTAGAGAACATTATATTTTAGTGAATTTCTCTGAGACCTCACATGTCACAGTTTTAAGTCTGGATGTCCTGTACAGAGCTAAGAGAACATTCAGGGCTTTTCAGAGATACCAAATGTTTGGAAGTTTCTCCATCGTCACTCCCTCTGCTTGGTCTTTAAAAATGGCTGAATTTAGTGATAAAATTGTACATCCTTATGGAAATATTCTTCCCCGCGTTGTTGCTCTGATTTATTTAGGGTGATGTATCATAGTGCAATACTGCATGAATATTATAGGATGTTAATAAAAATATGTCATTATGCCACTTACAGTTCTTAAAGAGAGTTAATTTGATCAATTCTGGGGGGAAAAAAAATCTTGTGACAAGGTGGTGCTTGGATGTTCTTGTCTGATCAAAGATAGTACTTAACCTGAAAATTTAGTAAAACACTTTTAAGAGACATTAAAAGTGGGATTAACACTGCAATTAAAAATGCACTGTACCTACCAGAATGACCTTCTCAATTTCTTTGGATGGACACCAGTGAAACATTCCAGTAGAGTCGTATCTTTTCACATTAGCATCCATGTTCTCAATCTGCTCATTTCCCGGAATGAGCAGAGGGTCATGTCTGAAATAGAGCATAAGGAGGAGAAAACGTGTAAGAAGAAAACATGTACGCTTGCCATTATTTGCAAATGCAGGTTAGCAAAAAAAAAAAAAAAAAGTGACAGTGGGAATTTATCTTCTGGGCTTAATTGTGACATTTGTCAAAGGACAAACTTTCAGCACATCTCACCAGACGTCTATTGACAATAAATAAGCAGTAAACAGGCCTGTGCTGACATGGCTTGTCATTGTCAGATTGAATTTGTGCATTGGACTCCTTCATAACGGCAGCTCTCTCCGGGCTGCCAAGAATGCGGAGTCATCAAAGCGTCCGCACCGGTGACAGCACTGGAGTGGAAGAGCTGGAGCCGGAGCACTTCAGTGACTGAGTGGCACCAGAATGGAACACCAATTACCGGCTTTTACTCCGCATCGCTCCTGACGTGATGCGTCCAACGGTAAAAGCTTTAACAGAGCTGCACTTTAAATATTTTAGGAATTTGCCCAATCACATTTTGCTCCCCCAAACTGAAGGCCATTAATGTTTCAGCAGTGTGTCTCGTCCAAACAGGCTAACCTATATCAGCACGTCCTGCAGAAGCTGATCTGTGGGGCATGCTGACCGTGAAAGAAGTGTCAGCACTCAGGTACAGCTCGCATTCAACCCCTCTTGAAAGCTTTCTAAACAGCTCAGTAGCAGAACTATACAACTGAAAAGCTGAATTCACACACTAAACGTGTGGCCATGATCATTTGATGCCTGTTCTGGGGTTGTTTGGTATGAATAGCAACTCAGAAAATTGTCGAATGTCGTTTTGAGCTTGTTATAGTTATTGCTTGTTTTGAGCTTGTTACAATTTGATTTATCAGTAGTATTCATTCAATTAAACGGCATGCGTCGTTTAATATGCTCTATACAATATATATATATATATATATATATATTACAAAAAGTCAGCCATTTGTTGCCCAATTTTATGCAGATTAAATTTATTGCCTTAGAATTGTCCAATAATTGTGAATTATAAAAAAAACAACTAGGGATGTGTGATACATATATTAAATATTCACAATATATTTGCAACGATTTAGTTGACAATATAAATTCATTATTATTGCAATGATTTTGAATGTCTAATTGTTTGGCCATCATATTTCCTAACGAAATTTTGCGATCCCTGTAAAAGCTGTGAAAATGAACATTCAAGCACAAAAAAGGGTGATGTCTCAATAGGCATTGTTTTATTTGCTAAGAAATAATAATGATATACTGTAGTAAAATAAAAATGACTTAAGTGCTGTACAACTACTGGTACAACATACAGTGAAGTTCATATACTGATATCATATACTGATATAAAAGTAACAAAAAACTATTATCTTTTTTTTTTTTTTTTGCGCTGTTGACCCAGAGTCATTTCTATGTGCTACGTGTTTGTATTTTAATAAAGTTATGTCATAATCTGTCTCCCCCAGTGACACTTGAATTAATACTCCACTTTTTCTGATGGCAGTTTTTGAGAGAAACCACAGAACTCTTGTAAATGCAAAAAACTGTCAACTAAAACCCACCGTGCAGCATGTTACCGGGCCAGAGACAGGCCAAAAAGGCTGGCTTTGAGGAAATGGCCTCGGGGCAGACAACAAAGCCCCATCTCTGAGACGTGGCTGCAGGGGAACATGCTCTCTCAGAGTCTGCTCGACCCAGCTATTGTTAATAATATTATCCACAGATTAACAGCCATTTACAAAGGTTTTTTTTTTAAAAACCAGTCCTGTCTGATAATGACAGGAGATGATTTTGTTATATAATGTATTAATCATACACATGATTAATATATGAAACCGCTCCGGGAGGGTGGATTTACTGTATAACACTTCTTACAAAGATCTGAAGCTTATGTATAAAAGACGTTCAATAAATTACAGGATTTATCAATGCAATGAATAGCTATTTATTCATTAACATCAGGGTGTATTATTTTATCTTATGCATGTGATGTAATTTAACTGACCATGCCTGTTATGCCTTGTTCTGTAACATGCTGTAATTAACACAACACTAAATGAGGTTTGTAAATTGCATTAGCCCCTTGTTAATCACTCTAATAATGAATGATGGGACCTCTGCTTCAGCTTCCATATTTGCATAACTTCAGATAATATCCTGGAAAATTTATTTACATCTAAAATAACTGCACTGACATCTGAAGCCAAATTTCAAATTCAACTACTGCATGTACAAAATTCAACAATGGATGTGTGGTAGTAAAAAAGTGCAAATTCTGGTCATATTACAAACCTCATAATTATTGTTTTTCTCTTTTTCTCTCTAACCTTCCTAAGCAGGTTAATTCAGTGACACAGTTCTCTGACACACCGTTTCGACTGTGTTTGATTGCTAAAATATCACATCAGAAATGTGTCAATTAGCATGCATGCATGAGATGACATCAGGCTGTGTGGAGGTACTAATAACAGTGAAAGCATTTAGTGCTTTTACACCCCGACTGAATTTTTCATTATGTGGCGTGTGTTTCACCACTCACTCTGCGGACCTCTGTCATTTCAATCTCCCTTCAGTATACTGACTGGTGTAGTGCACCTCTGCCAAGATAACTATCTCTCACCCGCTGTCAGAGTCGCCTGCCAGTCACAAGCACAATCCACCGGTCCACACCACTCCAGAATAAAATCTGACATTACTCACTGCTGCTAGGAAACCCAACAAATACATTGTGACTTCCCACAATTAGATGCGTTGTGTCTCCTTTGAAGCGTTTAAGTGTGATATTGTTATTGCATTATATTTCAGATATTCTAAATAAGCTTTTTTTAAATATATATTTACACAACTGGTCAAAATTGTGGAATTATTACGTTTTTTATATTTATTTATTACAAAAATATCTATATTTTAAATATATATTTTAAAATGTAATTTATTCCTGTGATGCAAAGCTGAATTTTCAGCAGTCATTACTCCAGTCTTCAGTGTCACATGCTCCTTCAGAAAGTTGCTGCTTAATTATTATTGGCACATTTTATTAATTTTGAAAATAGTTTTTGCTGCTTAATTTTTTGGAAATCATGATACATTTTTAGGATTATTTGATGAACAGAAAAAAAATCAAACGAACATCATTTATTTGAAATAGATTTTTTTGTAACATTATAAATGTCTTTACTGACACTTATGTTCAGTTTAATGAATCCTTGCTGATTTATTTCTTTTTTCATTTTACTTAGCCCAAACATTTGAATGGTTGTGCATCACGGTTTCAAAAGCAAACACTGTTTTGAACATTTATAATAAGAAGAAATGCACTAAATCAGCATATTAGAATGATTTCTGAAGGATCATGTGACACTGAAGACTGGAGTAATGACGCTGAAAATTCAGCTTTGACATCATAGGAATAAAACACATTTTAAAATATATTAAAATAGAAAACATGTATTTTAATAATATTATTTTAATGTTATTCTGTAATAATATTTCACAATATTACTGTATTTATTTTGTCAAATAATCAAAAACTGTAGCCTTGATGACTTTTCAAAGTTTTGAACATTGGTGCACCTTCCACTTGATTTCATTTTTGCAAAGAACCAAGCCAAAAACACTCAGTTTAAACAGACATTTAATCTGAAAACAAAAGGCTTGGAGTAGGAAACTACCAGGTACCGTAAGCGAGACAGAAAGTTCTCCATTTAATTGGTATGTCCAGAGGAGCGTCCTAGACATGCATTTGGGGAAAGAGAGAGCAAGAGAGAACAGAAGTTGAGAGCCGGGAGAGCTGCTTTTCAAACAGCGTTCAGCTATTCCAGCGCATCACTCGGCAGTCACTGGCTCCCCGAATCCCTCACCAGCAGCCTATGAAAGCAGCTCCTCGCTTTGAAAATTTTCCCTATCATGCAAACTGACAAAGGCATGCTTTTCAAAAACCCACAGCCAATCTGTTGATCATTATTTATTTACGACGGCCTGGAGGCGCAGAAGCCTGTAAAAACCATACTTGATATGGTATACGCTGGCTGTTTTTCCCTTTCCTGCTTGTTGAATAAAGTATCCCTAAGGCTCCCTCAAACAATCGCTTTTCAATGTGGATAAAACACACCTAGTAAAGGTGAGGTATTTAATGTATGTTGTAATATATTGAAAAGGAGGGCACAGGTTGAAGGAGTCAACGGGTCTGTCTTTGGTAATTTTGATGTTTCGCTGCAGGGCTTTGGCTTGAAAAAGCTTACACCTAGAACAGAGGACCTGTCATCCAGTACCCAAGAGCCAGCTGAACACACAGGCACCCCTAAAGCACAGAAAACTTTGACACCGCTTTGAAGCTTTTCAAAACAGGGTAAATAACTCCCAAGAATTATTATCACTTGTAGATCAAAGAGTCGATGCATACATTACATGGCAAACGGGGACCTTCAAATCTGCTCAGAAAAACAGTTTTGTGCTGTAAGTTAAGGAATAAAAACCAAAGATCCTTCTGAGCAATCGCTGAAAGCTATTTTTTTTCATTCCACTCGCAGTTTATTGTTTAAAACCGAGAGCGAAAAGAAACAATTGAACATTGATCATTTTCACTTGGAAAGCAGACTAAAGGGCGAGATCCTCTGCAGGGCTGACAGTTTACGGTATGTAAAATTCGACATAATTGCTTCTTTTGGGGGGGGATTCATGTTGGAGACCTCTGTCTGGGGTACTTATTATAAGCTACAGCGAAATGCCTTGTGGGTGGCACACAAATGAAAAATAAATATTTTGTTAAATAAAACAAAACAATATTACTTTACATATAAAAATGAAAAGTTAAATAAAACAAAAATTCCCCCATTTTATTTAATTTATAATACAATATAAAAAATTTTTTTTTTTAATTACATTGAAAAAAAAATGTAAATTGCTGTTTTATGTAACTAATTTTAATTAAATGTTACATTTTACAACTATTACTACAATATGTAAAAAAATTAATTAAATATTACATTGAAGAAATCAATAAAACTACTATGTGTCATGTAAACATGTTAATTAAAAAGTTAAATATTACTATAATTGCAATAATAAGCCTGCATCATAAAATGGCATTATATACTAACTGAAAGAATGTGACCGACTGCACTAAATTACAAAAACAAAATATTGAAATACAAACATGCATAGAGTCAAGCATGTTGGCTATCACTTTGCAGAAAGTTGTCCTGTTCTCTAAACCTTCAGCAACACTTTCTCACTTGACGATGTGCAACGGAGGGCATTGTCTCTGCTATTTTTACAACCTCTGCATAAACGTCTCCTGGACACATGGGCGAAAAGCAAGTCCTTTTATCAGTCTAAATCAATTAGCAGCATTCTAATTCCACCAGACAGGATGAAAGGAAGGTAATATTTGAATTCATTTTTGATTGCAATGATACGTTTCACATATGGCCTTAAGTACGAAGAACACGCCTCACAGGGGTTCCCACAATAGACGAAGAGCCCTGAGGCTAAGTAACCATGCTGGCGTCTCTGATTGGTTGGCACCGTCATTAGTGCCACCACTGTTTAAGAACTACATGTGGACGGGACTGGGGGTAGATGACAGCTGAGACTTTAAAGCAAGAGTATTTTTCAAACAGCTTTTCATAGCTGCTTTCATGACAGAAATATTTCAGCTCTATCATTAACCGCTGACAGGCTGACAGCTCAAACGCCTTGGCCTGAAAGGCCTGCTCTCCACCCTCCTCCTCTCTCTCTCTCTCTCTCCCTCCACACTTTCTTTTTCCTTCTCCATTCCTCCTACTCCCACCATCCCAGAACCATCCGTCCTGTCTCTCCCTCTCTTTCCTTTTGAAGGCTGGAGGGAGCATCTTGAAATCAGTGTCTTACCTCATCATTTTGGGTGAGCAGTTGGGTGAATTCCGCATGCCTCCATTGCGTTGCTTCTTTTTGGGCGACAGTGTTGACGGATGCTCATCTTCGACTGCAAACACATGCAAAGAGTGTCAGACTGTGGACAGCTGGGATTGTAAAGTGTGCTGGAGATGACATATTAAAGAACACAAAAGCCAACACTCAATCAATCATTGCAATAAACACTCAAATCTGTGAAGACCTCCAAAAATAGAAAGAGAACAGTGTTAGTATGGACAAAAGTACACTTAAAGAAGGCAAGTACAGACCTGAAGGACAACCATTAAGTTCTACACCCTGTTTTCCATGAATTTTCTTTTCAAATAGTTGTTTTGAGCGATGTATGTGTGAATTTATTTCAGCCCATATCAAACTCTATTTTCCCTCTCTGTCATTGTTTAGAGGGCATGGGCTTGAGCAATGACAGAGGGGAAGAAAAAAGAAAAAGAAGAGTAATTTGGTGTGTTTTTTAAAATGGATGACTACATGGCAAAATCAATCCTCATCACTCAGAGAGCCGTGAGTGATGGCTCCGCTGTGAGTCTGTCCCCCGTACCACAAGCACTCTCAGCGCTGAACAAGCACCCTGAACTGAGCCTTCTCTTACTGAAACGCCTCTCCAGAAGGACGTTACTGAGGGGCCTGAGTGTTGAGGGCCTGAAGGTTGAGCTGCATCTGAGATGCTATGGATATAGTAAGGTGAAATATTCAAAAACTATAGCTTTGGTTAGTTTACCCTAAAAATATTGTCATCATTTAGTCACTCTCATGTCATTCCAAACCTGTATGACTTGTTTAAGGAACACAACAGGAGAAATTTTAGAAAAATGCGCACGCTTCTGTTTTTCATATGACGACAGCATCAAATTCTGGCCTTCGCATCTAAAGGTGCCATATCAGAATTGAACATGAGCACAAATGAAATTTGTGAGCGATAGAGAAAAACTAAACAACTTAATTTTTATTTATGGTGGTTTAACAGCTTTGGTCACTTTGAAGTGTCACTGTATGGATCAGAAAAGCATTTCTTCAAAATCTCTCCTTTCTTTTTTTTTTTTGGAGAACTGTTCCTTTAAGTTGGGGAGAAAGTGTTCAATATGTTGATAAAAACTATTGAACATTGTCTGTCCTGAAACATTATTTATAATTTCCATGTATACCACAGTACGCGGTGTTTTTTTTTCATGTTATGCATATTATGCATCTTTTTTCTTTTTTTTGTATTTAAGTATGATACCAGATACTGAACACAACATGGTCTGATTTGTATTACAGAGACAGAAACCCAAACTCTATAACACTGCAAGCTTACTTTAGTGTGGCTCTGTTAGAAATTTATCAGCACAGCAAAATATTTTAAAAAATTTAAACAAAAGATGCTGTCTGTGTCTTTACCAAATGCCAGTGCTTGACATTTGCAATTACACTGTGGAAGGAGCAATGTGAGACAGTAATCAACTTTAAAAATATCACTACTGATAAGATGGCGGTGCAGTGGCCCTTTGTTCTGTGTTATGGTTGTTGAGCGAGTGGCCTGGCTGGGCCGGACTGCTCTCTCCTGCCCTTGCTCTTCCAAATTAGGCGGCAGAGATTTACGAGCTACAGTGGTGCCCTTCAGTAAAAGGCTTAACAATGAAATAACTCCACCTGCAACACGGCCATTTCAGCAAGTCTCTGCTTGTTCCAAATTACATTATGGCACTTTTACAACCTCAATCAAAATAGGATCTGCCCACCAAAGTGTGATTGCTGTTCCATACCACGGGCAGCTGTAGCCCTTGTTTTTTTGTGTCTCTGATCAGAACGATTGAGCTAGACATCTGTCTCCTCTTTCTCAGACAGACAATGGACTGATGCCTGCTTTACGGCACAACAGAGATATAATAGAAATTACTAGTTTGTTTCTTTTCATTTATTTTACTATAATTCTAAACACTTTGTAAAATTTGGGGTGTTCATGACAACTGGCTTAGGTTTAAAAGTCTGAGACCACATTGAAAATCTACTTTAAACCTGGAAATAATATGAAATATTTAAGATATGTAATGAAAAAATACATTGGATTAGTTCTAAGTCTGAGACCCATTGAAAATCTAATTTAAAACTGGAAATAAACTGAAAAAAGTCAAATTAATATTCAGAAATAAATAAGGTATGTAATTAAATAAATAAATAAAATTAAAAAGATGTAAATAAAAATATTTTATATATGTAATGAAAAAAATGTCTCATCATTTTTAAAAATAATTTTAATTAGTGGCCTTGGAACCCCACTTTATGTGTAGGCTAGCTATACTGGAACTTCTATACTCCTAACGATGGCAGTTTCGGTTACACACATTACACACACACATTTAGTGTTGGGGCAGGGTGTACATTAGCCACTAGCTACTCTACATGCATGCAGCAGTGACTGCAGGGACCCATGCAGGAGGAAGGGGTTGTCTGCGGTAGCACTGACTAATGCGTCCTAAGGCGCCACCTACAGAGTGTCAGGGTGAGCGTTTAAGACAAGGTGCTGGGACGGTAGCGGTATTTTCCAGGCAGGCTGCGGGCCCGGTTCAGACCAGCCAGGCTGAGTCGTGACTGTGAGGGCGGCGCCGGAGGGAGAAGACTTCCTTTACGGTTATTAACAATGGTATGGCAGGTATGGCAGTCGTGGAGCACTCCACAACCGGCAGCACACTGGGAAGAGTGTTGGGAACAGCCATACTGTTGGCCAGTTTGATCGAGCAGTTTTGAAAAGTCGCTCTAACTTCCTCCTTTACTGTCAAACAGTGCAAGACAAAAGCAATGAGAGATGATTGTGAATTGGGTCAGTGACATATAAGATAAAGAAAAGGAACGTTTAAAAAAAATATATAGTTTAAAACACACGTACACAAGTTATTAGAAAAATGTCTTTGTTGGTTTCATATGGTTTTGAAAAAGTTTTATACTATTTTTTTTTTAGAAAAGTTTAAATTAAATGACTAAAAATTGCATGCTGTGTAAGGTAAATGTATTAACATTTTCTTTACACCTTGAATGTGAGTATGCATATCCTTTACATTATTTTCAAAAAGGTTTTAAATATACTTTGTGTGTTTTTTTTTAATTAACATTAATTATTATCACATACGGATATCATGAAGCTTTTGGGCAGTCACACCACATGACATTTTACAACCTGAACTAAACGTGTCATAAGAAGGTAAAATCATCAAATATTTTAAGAGGCTGTAAATTAAAATCAAATCCCTGGTTAAAAAAATTGTTTTACATAAGATTTACAATTGCTACATAGAAGTGACCTAAAAGCACATGCCATTAGTGCTTCTAAACTAAATACATTATGATTAAAACATTGAAGCATTCATAATTTATCACTGAACTGCATGAGAATCACATAAATATTTAAGTATGAAAATACAAGTTGACATGATTTTCATTGTTGCGCCATTTATTTCCCCCTTCGATTACCATTTACAGACAGATCCACAAATCTGTGTGCCATAAAGGCAACCGCTGCATATTTGAATAATTGACGATGACCCCTCAGTTTTATTAAACACTACTTAACCACTTGGCAAGCACTTTAGGTGAAATGTTCAATATGACATTAGTTTTTCCATTGCTAATAAACATTAATTAATTAGAAGCACTTTCTTCCCCAACTGCTCTGCGACAAGACGGAACAAAGCACGAACATACTATTCCTGATCACCGTCACAATGAATCAAGTCTCAATGCAGGTAGGGATGTGCTCACACAAGGGAACATAGCAATCTCTTTACATTCTGCCTCAATATACGACAAAACAATGTTGAAACAACGTATCTAAAATAAATAATAAATACTTCACACAATCCACGAAAATGTTTAAGCCGCAAAAAGGACCAAAATGACAACAATCTGCAGTCTGACAGACGGGAGTATGTGGTGTGTATAAGGGACTTGGAGTGTTTCACACGGGGCTCACTGCCTGCCATCCCAGCCATAAGACTCCAGCCTAATGCTATCTACATAAAAGGCAAGAGGTTAACCAATATCTGGTGTAAGTGGAAAAGCAGTTCCCGCCCGCTCCCCAAACCTTGCTTAGAGCAATAAATAGATGGTTATTTCTGCCGTCAGCTGCCGCATAGATTTAAAGGCCGCCACAGATAACTCCTGGATTCATCTGGCCCCTGTCAAACACGAGTAGCATTATACAGAGAACATCCGCTGTGGCACTTTCACTGTGGATTTACAGTAATCCAGACGGCAACTGTCCCTTTATGAAATGCAAATCCTGTGACGAGCCACAATTGTGCATTCTTGTCAAGGCCATTGTTAAATTATAGAAAATACATCTGTGAGAAAATGCATTTTAAAACTTTATCTCATTTTATGGCTGCTCTACATAAGTCAATTCGGCATGCACACACTTTTGAAAAATTGTAACATTTGAATCACCTTAAATTCTCCTACGTATTAATAGTATTAGCATAAGATTTTTTTATTATATCTTTTAAAATTATTTTGCAGTTTAAATCATTTTTTTGTCCTCCAGGTTCATAAATATAACAAAAACCATTTACAACGGTTTAAAAATAAATTCTCACTTCAGCCTATCAATTATGCAAATACATCAGGATACATATGAAATGAAATTTAATAGCAATAAAGCTAAAGCTCTCTCAGCATTAGTTGGTGACTCACTTTCCTACAACACATTCAGCTGTGAACCGAACCCCAGACTGCCGCTGCGATCCCATTTTCCCTGGAGTTGCAGCGCCATCTGCTGTTGGTGGCCTCACAATACAGAACAGCATTTCTAGCTCTTCAATCAACCCTTGCAAGGACACAGAGCTCTTTATGCAACATCTGGATTTCATATGGAACCCTCTATTCAGCACCTGACCTTTCTCATGCACATGTTTTAAAGTCGAGCAGCCCCTCTGATGCATTTGACCAGAACCCAGTGCTGAGAAACTGTCATCATGGCCCCCCTTCCCATCAATTCCAAGTAATCTACAGAGAGCTGAGGATGGCAGCTTTTGTGCTGTAATGCAAGTGGGGGTAAAATCAAAAGCAAAGAGCCAAAGCAGGCAGAATGCACGAATGAATGAGGGAATGAGGAAAACAGAAAAGTACACTTACGTGATCTGACATATCCGTTAAACTTGTATTTGGCTGAGGGGAACGCAGAGACCAATGAGAGGATACGGAGAGGAAGAGAGAGAGAATGAGGGTGAGACAGATAGCAGAAAGACAGTATATCACACTCGCACAAGAGCAGAGAGGACGAAAAGTCAAGTTAACAGCAGTTAAAGCAAAGAAGTTGATGAAGATAATTATATAAGCAGGAGATGACTAAAGAAACAAAAAACAAAAGAGATGATTGGTGGAGGGACTGGATTTAAATGAAGCGATGAAAATCAAGCTGCCTGTTCAGTGTTTCCACAGCACGGATCCAAAGACCTATGACGAATATAATGCCCAAATCCGACCAACCTCACAAGGATGATTATGGTATTTGGAGTTTGGTTGGAGAAAAGAACGCTTTGATAAGTCTAAATTTTATCCTTGACACTCAATTTGATGAAAACCAGTGAAACTCATTAAACAGATGTTAGCAATCTCGAGGCTTAAGCAAATAGTTAAACAACAAATTACAGATGTTTCCCATCACATAATTGCTTCTGTAAAAATGAACCGCTGGTCATTTTTGATCGGTAATTGCTATCATGTCAACTGCAGATGAACGCCAAACTGTAGGCATGGCATGCTGGGAGAATCAAGATTATTATATGCTACAAACTTGTGACAAAGCAAACAACATTAGTCATTAATGTGAACAATACTAGAGATAATATGAATTCATATTTAATATTACAATATTTTAAAAGAACTAATATTGCAGATTTTGTTTTAATTAACCTGGAATGCATATTAAGCAGGTAAATAGTTTTAATTTTAATTTCATGTTGACTTTAAGTCATATGTTGCATATCAAACTGTATGTATCCAGGTTTGTTGCAGATAATCATAATGCAGGATATTTTGGATGCATGTAGGCTGCTCTTGTATTGCTGCCCCCATCGTTACAAGTCTCATCTTTCGTTATGAGTACTGTATCTGATGCCATAAAGGTCACGGCGCAGGCCCAGGGCAGGGCGGTGACACAAGCGCTCAAGCAGGGTCCCCGTGCCGGTCCTGGCATATGTCGCTTGCGATCTGCGGGCCCAGGAAGAGTCGGCCGACTCTCTGGCTAGCATCTGTCCTACACGGTGGAGGGGATGACCGGCCCTGCTCCTGCCTGGTGGTAAGGAACTGTCAGGTTGAGTTTCATGACACACCAGCTAAGCTGGAGAAATGAAAATGCAAACATAATTTTCATGTCAGGCTGCATAAGAGCCGACGGTGCTGAGTTCCACCCTGCAAGGAGTGGACAAGATCCACTCTCTGGGCTGCGCCACCCCGCCCCGCCACGATCGTCACGTCCTCGGCAAACTCCATAACCAACCAGAGCAGGCAGGAGGACAGGAAAAAGAGAAGGAAAAAAATCCAAAAAGCCGCAACCCCTCTCAGTGTGCCAGGCGACTGTTGTTTACAAAACAGACATGTCTAAGATTGCCCTGCTGGAAACTTCCTTGTGAAGGCTCAAAACAGGAATTAATACCCTTTGTGATGCCGAGCACCTTGAGAGTCTTTAAAGCTCGTGTAATGAGGGGATAAGTCTCGGCAGGTGGAGCGGAGGGACTGTTATTGTCATTGTAACTTAGAGCGGAGGCAGCTAACTCACTCGTTCAGGATATTTGCTCCCTAAAGCCTGCACTTGCAGCGATAACAAACTCTTCTTAATAGTGTGCAGTGCACCAGAGCTATAATGAGTGCTCCATTGCTCCCTACTCCTTGTCAATGTCTCTCTGGGCTTTGACTGCAGCCAAAGGAGCGCAAGAAAGACATAGTGTCGACTTCTCACGCATCTCATTTTCATACTAATAATTCTTTGTCTGGTTTTGGCATTACCATCCTGAGTGATGCATGCACAGAATCAGAACAAAAATTGCACGAGCGCTGTTTGAGAAAGCACCCATCAGCAAACATTACTTTTGTAAGACAGAGTGCATTTACTGCCACGCGTTTCATGCATTCAGCAAAATTACTGCATCCAGGGGAGTAGTATTTATTTCAGCAATAACTGGGCTACTATAATGTGCAGGTATAAGACCACCATATCATGCCTAGCACAGGGATGTGATGATATTTATGCTTTCGGACACATTTGGGGCATATTTAATATTACAATATTTTAAAAGAACTAATATTGCAGATTTTGTTTTAATTAACCTGGAATGCATATTAAGCAGGTAAATAGTTTTAATTTTAATTTCATGTTGACTTTAAGTCATATGTTGCATATCAAACTGTATGTATCCAGGTTTGTTGCAGATAATCATAATGCAGGATATTTTGGATGCATGTAGGCTGCTCTTGTATTGCTGCCCCCATCGTTACAAGTCTCATCTTTCGTTATGAGTACTGTATCTGATGCCATAAAGGTCACGGCGCAGGCCCAGGGCAGGGCGGTGACACAAGCGCTCAAGCAGGGTCCCCGTGCCGGTCCTGGCATATGTCGCTTGTGATCTGCGGGCCCAGGAAGAGTCGGCCGACTCTCTGGCTAGCATCTGTCCTACACGGTGGAGGGGATGACCGGCCCTGCTCCTGCCTGGTGGTAAGGAACTGTCAGGTTGAGTTTCATGACACACCAGCTAAGCTGGAGAAATGAAAATGCAAACATAATTTTCATGTCAGGCTGCATAAGAGCCGACGGTGCTGAGTTCCACCCTGCAAGGAGTGGACAAGATCCACTCTCTGGGCTGCGCCACCCCGCCCCGCCACGATCGTCACGTCCTCGGCAAACTCCATAACCAACCAGAGCAGGCAGGAGGACAGGAAAAAGAGAAGGAAAAAAATCCAAAAAGCCGCAACCCCTCTCAGTGTGCCAGGCGACTGTTGTTTACAAAACAGACATGTCTAAGATTGCCCTGCTGGAAACTTCCTTGTGAAGGCTCAAAACAGGAATTAATACCCTTTGTGATGCCGAGCACCTTGAGAGTCTTTAAAGCTCGTGTAATGAGGGGATAAGTCTCGGCAGGGGGTGCGGAGGGACTGTTATTGTCATTGTAACTTAGAGCGGAGGCAGCTAACTCACTCGTTCAGGATATTTGCTCCCTAAAGCCTGCACTTGCAGCGATAACAAACTCTTCTTAATAGTGTGCAGTGCACCAAAGCTATAATGAGTGCTCCATTGCTCCCTACTCCTTGTCAATGTCTCTCTGGGCTTTGACTGCAGCCAAAGGAGCGCAAGAAAGACATAGTGTCGACTTCTCACGCATCTCATTTTCATACTAATAATTCTTTGTCTGGTTTTGGCATTACCATCCTGAGTGATGCATGCACAGAATCAGAACAAAAATTGCACGAGCGCTGTTTGAGAAAGCACCCATCAGCAAACATTACTTTTGTAAGACAGAGTGCATTTACTGCCACGCGTTTCATGCATTCAGCAAAATTACTGCATCCAGGGGAGTAGTATTTATTTCAGCAATAACTGGGCTACTATAATGTGCAGGTATAAGACCACCATATCATGCCTAGCACAGGGATGTGATGATATTTATGCTTTCGGACACATTTGGGGTGTGGGAACACATAATCTGCAATTTAGTGGAGAGTGCCACTAAATCGTCAGTTTAGTTGTGAAAGTTGCAAATTGAATTGATGCAAAAAGTCAGAAAATAGCACAAAAATAAGGTAGCACTTCTGCCCCACGTGTTCAAAAGAACAAAATCATATTTTTTGGGAAAACTGCCATAAAATAGACATACAAATGGAAGTTGTAGCCACTGGGGAAGCCACAGTTGCTTTTTAAATAAAGGTAATAAATTACTTGCGGTGTGAAACATGTCCACAAAACAAATATAAATGAAAATAAACTACAGTATATAGAAAAAATATACATATTAAATATATACACACACACCAGTGTTATGTTAGTATTAATGAGATACTATTATATTTTTTATTCATATTTTGAATCGTTTGAATTTTCCGATTTCATTTCGGATTTAGTTAACGTTTTAGTAATGTTGTTGTTCGTCATTTTTATTTTTTATTATTAAAAGCATCTCAATTTTAGTTTTTAGTTATTTTTGTACTTCAAGTTAAACTAAATTAAAATGAGAAATGTTGCCTTGCCAACAAGCTGAAATAAAAAAAATTAAAATTCAGTTAACATTTATTTTATGGTTTTAATTTTAGTTTTAGCTAACTATAATAACCCTGATACACACAAAAACAATGCCAAATTGCAAATATTCAGAACAAGGTCAATAACGTGATGACGTGCTCTGAGAATTTCATCAGAAAATCATTATTGACTGAGCAAAATCAAAGTCAGATGGAGGAACTCTGTGAATTCCTCATCACAGAGATGTAATGCTAGATCTGAGACGAAACCGATGGGAGAGTCAAAACAAAGCCGCAGCTGGCATTAGCTGTCAGCCTTGGCAAAATGTACTAAATTCAGAAAAAACGGCAGCAGCAAAAACCAACGAAGGATGATGCTACGTGAAGAGATCAGTAACTATGTAATGACCAGTAACTGGTATCCAGGGATGTCACCACAGACCAAAACACAAGACACAAAGTCAACCTCATCATAGGGTTTGATGCTAATCTAAGCTGATGTGGTGAACAGTCAGAAGGCAGTTGTAGAGGAAATGCGATCGCTTGAACGGACCCTTGCTTTTATAGTAGGTCGCACCGCTGCCATTCCTAATTGACAGACGCTTTAGTATTTCACATCTGCTACGGCTTAATGAGAAGACCCCTGTTCGGCGCTGTCCTTTACACAACTAACTGCTTCAGTCATCTGACCTCATCCAATAGCCTGAGTCACCGCCATCTCAATTGAGTTCCTGTCAGGAGATCTCTTTTTAACTTTCCCATTGAGCCTGACAGTCCCACTGTGGTATACAAGGCATTAAATAAAGCACATTGACTTTTTCTCCCCTGATTGCTGGCTAAGAGAAAATCATCGAGGAAGATCAGATCCTGTGGAAAGGGGGAGAGTTTGACGTGTTTTTTCAGTTGCACCTAAATGTGATTTTTACTGAAGGAAGAGGTTTTATTTCAGCCAGTGGAAATGGTGGAGGCATTAATGGCTTGCGGTTGTAAAACATGATTTTCCAAGAATAGCAGAAAAGACATTGCCAGTATATTCTTACAGTCTATGAACAGAAGAATCTCACTAAAAATCCCTTTCAACCACAATCTAGCATTTGGCATGCAAATTAAACATGATTTTAGTAAATAATGGACATTTCATTTACTGATATCCTTCCAATTTTGCTCAGTGAACAAATATAGTCAAAAGGGATCTTGAGCAGTGAGATCGACGTTTGCTTGTTTCTAATGCTTTAAATTGGGCAAGATGGCCTGCAATAACGGAGCACATTCAAAATTCAAAGACCAAAGGATTGTGGGTATCCAGTGTTTGAACCTGGGGGGGAAAAAACAGTTAGCCATGCATCTTCCTTAATCTGAAGAAGGTCTTCAAAAATCACATGAACATGAAAACATTGTCAAAACATCATTAGTGTCAATGTACACAATTAGCCCATAGATGTTTCGATTAAAAGCACATCATACAGTTATTTAACAGATACATGTACACCCGCCATTTAAAAGTGTAAACACCAAAACAGTGACTGCATAAAGGTCACCAGCACCACACAAGTGCTCCACTAACACAGCATGCGCTAATACAGTCCTACTGCACCTACTGCAGCACTAACACAGAGAAGCCACGTCACTTCAACTACCACCAATTCACCAAACAAAAAAGAATATGTACTAGTGTACCAACCAATACGCCACATATCTGGAAATAATGGAGGAACGAAACACACAGCACATGAAACACGGCACAGACACGCGCGCACTTACGTACACGCACACTCACACTCAAGTCACGGACATCGAACGGCATGTGGTTTGGAGATCAAACTTACAGGCACGTAAACTGGTTGAGCAATCATGAACAGAGACAGAAGAAAGTGGGAAGGCCCTCTGAAGACTGTCCATGTTACTATGTACACTGCCTGACATGCACGAGCAGTCGCGCTCAGAGTGCCCGCAATCAAAACAACATGCCAGTTTCATTCGCTTGTAGACGGACATCTTGGCTACAGTCATGTGTTGGATGAGAGGAGAGGAAAGCAGCAGGTTAATGGCAAGGATCAAAAGAGTTTTTCAACCAGGGAAGTCTGAAGGTAACTTTTTCAAAAACAGAAACAGAAAGTGCAATGCCTTAGCAGCAAGCACTGACAGACTTGACCCGCAGATGGACCACTGCGCTCCTGCTTGAAATATGCTTCTGATTTCGTTCACACAGCAGAAGTGAAGTTCGACCCGAATTTGAAGATTCATACCAAATTGAACTTTGAAAACGTCTAATAGAGGGCTTGTTTAGGCAGGAAGCAGTCGTCTCATTGGGGTCAAGCTGTGCCCTAAGGCTGATCATGTCATAAAAGGTCAGATATGACAATATGATCAGGGGTTGGGGCAAGGGACATTCAGGCAGAGAGGAATGAGTGAATGTGTTCAGCAGCCTCTTTGGATAACATCCTCTGTATCTAAAAGAGAGGATCACGTACCTGTATCCCATCATGCAGCAGCAGGTTATCGGCATCACAACGTGCTACAGGCTCTAACGTCAGCACTCTATTCTGTTGGTCAAACTCTGCTCAATCAGGGATTGGTTGGGATATTTGTGTGGTAACATGCCAATATGCTATTTCTTCGGCCCCTGATTAGAAGATGCTTTCACATGCATTGCGCATTTGATTCAAACATACAGTGCGTGGAGTGTATGTATGCATTTTTTTTTGGCTCTCAAAGGAGCTGTGGTGAGAGACTATAGCAGCATTTGATTGCTGTGAATCGGACTAAAAACAGTCCTTGGTATGCATTCTCCCGGTGCCACCTCGCTAACGGACCATAATCAAGTCTGGCACCCTCAAAAGAGCAAACAATCCACAGGGAAAAGCCTGCTTTTGACTTCCATCTGAGGTTATGAGCCCGAATTAAGAGGCCAATTTCAGTTGTATGCTGGAAAGAGAATACGGTAAATGACTTGGCCTTTAGAGCCATAACCTCAGGGGCTGTTATTCGCATAGAACCATGCAGAATAGCTGAAATTAAGAAGAACAGGCATGCAGTGGGAGGCGACCGTGTTCGTATCTCTTGAAACGGCAGCCCGGTCAACTGTTTACAGGGCTGAAACAGATTAAGGCAATGTAAAAACATGCAGCATTGGGGCTTCTACTTAATTTCATGCTGAAATATGTCGCTTCAGAGTTTGAGGGTTGACATTCATCGGAGTACATAGCATGTGGTTATGTTAGTCAGTGAGAAATGGAGGGCGGAAGAGACACAAGACATGATGATGTGAGTGACTGAACATGACTACACAGAGAGCCTAATCACCGAAGCCTCTTTAACAGGACAACCCAATTTAGCAAGAATGCTCTCAGCACCCCTAACATCTGTCCTCACCCTACAACGTCCCATAATTCAAAGCAGGCTGCATCGTATGTTAAAATACTAATGGACAGGAACATATTTGCAAGCTTTACGTATGCACATAATAGCCTATTTTGAGCTTATTCTTACAAGAAAAGGAGTAATATTAGATACAGTGAAGCCTTGCATGCTTAAAATACTTAAAACAAACACACCTCCATCTGTAAACCAATATAAAGCAAACAACACCATGGCTCCTTGGGGAGACCTACATAAAGAAACCTAGGTGACAAGTAAAAAGACCCTACATTGCACATTGGCTGATAGCAATCTTGCTAAATAGGTTTATGAGGACCTCAGTGTTCCCATTCGGTTCCCATCTAATTTGTGGAACTACAGTGGCATCTAGTGGCCAACGTTGTGTATAGCAAAGGTCAACACCACCATGCGCCTAACGTTGAGATGCACCTATCAGTGAGGGCAGTGAGTAAAAAAGGACCCAACTACTGAAAAGAATTGAAATGCAGAACATTTCAATTCTGCTGATGGTTGTTGTGTCGTGTAGACAGGCTGGGCAGGGGCCGGGCGGTGGAGACAAAGGGGAGGCTGTAGGCAAGAGGGAGACCAGATTGTTTTGATTGTGTTTTGGAGACGATGCTCGTTAAGCCTAAGAATTTGAAGAACTTCCCACAGAGCTGAAAATACAGCAGCATGCAAAATTGCCTCTGACAGTGAGGGGACAGATTCAAGTGGACTTAACCTCCCCCCTTGGCACTCGTGAAGTCCATGACTAATAGTAGCAAAATCAATCGGTTTGTTTGACTTTTCAGATTGTCATGATCATGAATCTAGCCATTTTGGGTTTCATTGAGTTTCTGAAGGGTCAAACAACCTTTGAAATGAATCTCCGATTTCAGAATGGTGCTGTGAGTAAATCTTTGGGAGGAATTGTGTTATTGGTCACGGCCTCATTGTTCTCTCCTGTTAAAGACTGGATTGTAGGGGGTCAGGACTGGGTCATTTTGAGGCCAGTAAATTCTGCTGTATTGTTTTGGGCTGAGGACAGTGGAGAGATGAGGTGTAGGAGGGATGCAGCAGCTAGACTGATACATGCAACATATATATAGATATAGATATATAGAACTATTATCAGAGTGAGACAGTCAGACAGTCAGACTGTACTCTGGCCACAGGAAACCCGTTTTTACTCACAATATGTCACTACCAGTGAGAGGTTTAAATAAAGAGGCGGTATTCCAAGGCAGCAAGGAAGAAAATACATCAAGAAGTATGTCAATGACCATAAAGGGTGAAATAAAAGAACACAACCTTCCATTACAGCAATGGAAACCTCATCTCCTTTACTGTAAGGCTACTGGCCTCTTCTTAGGTGACATTCGGTTTTGGGAGGGTGCATATAATCAAAAACATTTAATTGGGGTGAAAACAAAAGAGAAAAAAATGTATATGTATATATATATATATATTTTAGCCACTGTGTAAAAGTTTGGGGTTTTGGAAGTATCACAGTTTCCACAAAAATATTAAGCAGCACAACTGTTTTCGACATTGATTATAATAAGAAATGCTTCTTGAGCAGCAAATCATCATATTAGAATGACTTCTGGAGGATCATGTGACACAAAAGACTAAAGTAATGATGCTGAAAAAAAATATTTTTACATTCATTCATTCAAAAATCAGCTTTGCCAAACAGAAAACAGTTATTTTAAATTGTTATAATATTTCACAATATTACTTTTTTTTACTGTATTTTCGATTAAACTAATGCAGCCTCGGTGAGCATAAGAGACTTCGAAACATAAAAAATAAAAAAGAGAGTCTAAGTGTTGTCAAAGTGCATCATCTGAAACAACATATATCATTTTCAAATGATGTAGATGTACACATAAACATAAAAATAAATAAATAAACAAGGGTTTGCAGCTGTTTAAGTGTGCACAGTGAAAGGTCACTGGGAATGAATCTGAATTATTCATCTTGTGGCTAACTGGTTTGGACAAATGCTTATATAGGTCACGTAATAACAATGCATCATTCCAACATTAATGTTAATGCATGCTCTACTTAACATAAATATTGCTTCATTCTATGAAGCCAAGATTAGCAAATGAAAACAAACATGTAGGTGTTGCCGCATGTATATATAATTAATAGGGTGTTTAAGGAAATATATTTCTATCAAATGATATAAATGTCTGCAGGAGCTGCTCTGACAGTGGACTACACTCTGAGCTTTTAATCTCTCTTCTACTTCAGTGCCTTCCTGTCAGAAAGTGTTTTCACCGGGCTGAGGCAGCGGGACATGACAGTGGTGCGTCCGACCGGCACTTGCACTGGGCGTTCTGGGTAAACAGGGTGGATATGATTGGTAAAATGATCCTGAGCCAGGAGTGTGTTTTCGGTGTGTCTGGCGAGGGTGGGCTAAGCTGCTCTTGCCTTTTGTTTTTCCACCTGACTGGTGTCATTACCTCTGCCTCTCCCCTACTGACGCCACCATGAGCTGACAGCCTCTCTCTTCAACCCTGCTAATCATGTCATTCCCTCTCTACATCTGTATCTCTCTCCACCATTAGCATGCTGATGACTGGCTTTCCTCAAGAGTCTCACTCTTTCACCTTGTCATCTTTATCCCTCCTTTTCTACAGTTCATTGCTTTCTCCTTATTCTTTCATATGGTTGTTCTCAAAGTGAAATTAGTAGAGCACCTTAGGGGCTCTACTAATTTTGCCCATCTTTTTATAGTGATTGCAAGGCAGCAATGTGTTTTGTAGATAATTGTGGTCTTAGACATGACATCAATTTTTTCACACATTAAGAAATTGAAGACTAAAGTGTGAAAATCTTCCACTGACAGCTGAACACTATCATTCAAAATGGAAACAACTGTGATGACATCACTGTAATATTTTCATTCTGAATTGCAATCGGTTATCTCCATTACATCTATTTGCATGCTGAATTGCAAATGGTCTCATCTTCTTTACACTGCTGTCAAAAAGCTTAGGGTCGATATGATTTTGTTTTTATTTTCTGAAAGAAGTCTCTTATGCTCACCAAGGCTACATTTATTTGATCAAAAATAAAGTTACAACAATAACACTGTGAAATGTAAGTACAATTGAAAATAATATTTTCAATATTTTTGAATATATTTTAAAATGTAATTTATTCCTGTGATGCAAAGCTGAATTTTTAGCTTAGTCTTCAGTGTCACATGATCCTTCAGAAATCATTCTAATCATTCTAATATGCTGATTCATTGCGCAACAAACATTTATTTTTATTATCAGTGTTGAAATGATAGTTTTGCTACTTAATATTTTTTTCAAGGATAATTTAAGTTAAAAAACTGATTTTTTTTTGTTGTTGTTGGTAATATAAAAGTCTTTACTGTCACTTTTGATGACAGTAAATTATCATTGGGTATTTTCTAAATAAAAGCATTTATTTCTTTAAAAATCTTACCCTTTTGAATGGTAGTGTTTTTAATCAGTTATAGCTGCACATGATTAAATGAGTGTGTCGCAGTATTTATCAAAAAGTATGTGAAAATACTCAAGATGACCTACTGTTTCTGCTAAGATTCAGCAGCATACATCTGATTTACACTTTACTATCCTATAAGGCCATGGGAGTCATAAAATTCAAGTAGTTGAAAAAAAAAAGGGGGGGGGGGGGGTTGTTAAACGATTGGCTCTTTTCAAGTGTAAGCACTACAGTAATAAAGAAAGTTGTTGCTAACAACTTAATATTAATGCAAAGTTGGATTTGGTTTTTGTACATAATATGCGAGTAGAAAAGCAAAACTGAACTTAAAAAACAAAATCAGATTTGTTTGCTGCCTTGCAAGTGTTTTTTGTTTGTTTGTTTGTTTTTGTTTTTTGAGTCTGACATCAGCCTATTATTTTATTTACAATATGTAACTTTTCCAAAAAAACAACAACCTACAATTCAAGACATGTTACACAACGTAGCAGTGGCCTACAAAGTGAAAAAGAGTCGGCAGACACTTTCCGTTCAGACATGAGGCGAGGGATGGTCGGGTGTACTTACTTCTCTTGCAGCCACACTTTTTAATCCTTTTGGGATCTGTGATGTCATCATGACATGCTTTGCAGTAGAAAAATGCTCTGAAGAAAGACAGTAAAGAACTGAACATTCTGCTTCAAGTGTGCCCTTTCAGTTTTCACTTGTATTTAAAAATTACAAATTAAATTCAAGAGCACAAGTAATTTTGATGGATTGAAGAGATGATTACCTTTTCACTTCTTTGGCATCACTGGCGATAAAGAATCCCAAAGTCCCCTCCTGCATCTTAACGTGATTTCCCGGGTTGATCAGAATACTGTTCAGTCAGAAAAAAGGGTCATTGTCATTAACATAAAAATCAACCTTGCACATTCAACACTCTAATCAAGAGGAATGGTACACGTGTTGAAAAGACTGATGAGAAAACATGCATATACTGCATCAAATTTTGATACTGGAATTGTACTTTTGTCAAAAAATACTGCAGGGAAAGGGACCTATTCAAAAATAATGCTTAGGCCACTTGGTTTCACACAAATACAGTACAGTACACAACAGAATGACCAGCCCATTTTAATTCTTTTTTTTTCTTTCTTATACTTAATTAGTCTTGGTGATGAGATAAAAGAAAGAATTAAAATTGGGGCGGAAACAGTCTAGGCGTTCTGGTCGACAGGCCTTCAGAAACTCATGGTGTGAGGTCTATCGCCACACAGAAGCGCAATTTAATTCCTTCTTTAGTGCAGTGGAAAGCAAGGGAATGACCAGCCCACCAAGGTGCATCCCGGGTCTCTGAAACTGTGGCAACAGCATAACTAAGCCAACACAAGCCATGCAGTTTAACAAGAAAGCGGAATTCCAAAACTCTTTTATACTCTTTTATTTCCAAAAATGGTAATATTGTTACCATTACATTCGTAGCATCAGCTAATAAGCCATGGTTATTACTTTTATTATTGCTGTTGTGTAACCTAATAAAAAAAATAAGCACTGACTCTATGCCACCAATAATCAGTATCTGTTACTCTGACAGACTGAATTGTAAGGTTTCTCTGATATTTTGTATTTTTATTTGTCATGTTTAACGTTACTGACTATTATATACAGATATGACGAACTGCATGTCATATCATCTTGCTAGCCAATATTAACACTTTTTGTTTTACCTGGGAGTACCTTTTGCTGCTTAATATTTTATTTATTTTTTATGAAATATGACATTTTGTAACAATGTAAAAGTCTTTACTGTCACTTTTGATCAATGTAATGCATTGCTGAATAAAAGTACTAATTTTTTTATCTTTTTGAATGGTAGTGTTTACATACAAAACATGTAAAGATGCCAATTGTAAAATGAAAACTGATAGGTTTCATTTTTTTCTTTTTAATATCAAAAAGACAAAGCATTCTGAATCAAATTCAGTAAATGACAGAATTGTTTTGGTTGACGCAACCTTTGCTCTGGGTTTTGGCTCCTAGCAATTGATCAATCCCAGGCTATTGTGAACAAATACCAGTCGCTGTCAAACCTAAGCTAGCGCTGTCAGTGTCTCTGTGACTTCCCTTGGTGGGCGAGGAATTTTTTGATGTTTATGAATCTAATGTCAGCTTCTGCCTTTTTTTTTTTTAGGGAGTCTGGTTTGTAACTGTAGAGGTTCAGCAGTGTAGACAGAGCCACTGCTGAACCACTGTATCATTCCCCATTAATTAGACAGAGACAAGACAACACAACATAGCCATCAAAGGTTGCCATTTGTTAGGAATCGTCAATGAATTGAGTGGTGGCTACAACACTTGACAAATGCCCAGTCTGACAAGAGCGCCAAGGCCAGAGAGCCCAGACGAAAGGGAAAGGTACATGAAAGACCATCCTATTATTCCACACTCAAAATGGTGGCCAGCATCATTGGCTCTGAAAAATCCATATACTTAAATACCATTTGATACATGCAGTCTATCAAAATCCTTTCCTCTGGGCTCGTCTAAATAACTACTTCATCAGAAATGAAGGCCAAAAGAGGGGGATTTAATCCATCATAAAGCATATTGGTTGGTCAAGTAATGAAAATGTCAAAAGCGCTCTGTCTTGCATGAAATCATTGTGCTGGGTTATTTATCACTGAGCTTTATATCTGATTAAATAGCCCCCTTAGCGAGAAGCAGCACATTTGACATGCTGTTCAGAAGATGAATACAAACAGACTCATTCACTGAGATACTCGCACACATTGCTCCCCAAATTTGAGATTTTCACACCGTTTGACACTTATGCAATGGGCTGATCACAGACCGATTGCATGGAAACATAGGCTTCCGTTCAGACCAAACCTCATATTATGGGAAACAAAGCAAGCATCACACAACACTTGACAGAGCATACGGGCATGCGGTTACCAAGAGCATCACAACCAAGGGCACATCTAAAAGAGAGCAGGTGCAGCCATCGCACAGCGGCACGTAGATGCAAACTGTTGCAGTAACTTCTGTGCAGTTGGATTGTTGTATAGAACACCAAACTGACAGGAAGTGACCTCACTTCATAAACATCTACTCAGAGACGCACAGGCATTTGGGGACATGATGATAGTTAGTTCCAGACAAACACACACACTGATCGACCATTCAGTCACACACTCGCACTCGTCAGAATCAGCATCACACACACAAATACAAATCAGTCGCTCCAACACACAGAGACATACAAACGCAATACAGTGTTAGAGTGGTAATGACAGAAAAGGCAAAGATGGTCGCCATGAATAGTGTGGCCTTTACTAACCAATCAGTGTTTAGCGTTTATTACTGCCGAATTAAAACTTGCCATATTGAGACACATCAGTTCTTAATGGACAAACACTAGTATTTTCTGATATATAATGCACTGAGTACAGCGGTTTTCCTATTAGGGCACTTTTCTTGGTGCATTACAAAAAAAATAAAAATAAAACCCAAGTACTGTTCACATGGAGAGCACAACGCTGAAAAAGACACGGGCAGAAATGATTTGCAGCTGATGAACACTGAAAAATAATCAAAAAGGAAAGGAGAATAGAGGAAGTCGAGAACAAAAAAACAGAGACGAATGAACATGGAGTGGATAAATGCTGTGTTGATATGTGAAAAGCACAGACGAAGAAACAAGTGAATCAAACAATAGTAACTACTCTCTCTGCCTGCAAAGAAGTTAGTGCATTAAGCACAAAGAGAATCACAATAAGAGAGATAGCGAGAGATTTTGGCCATTTTTGAGAGGGAGGTGGAACAATATCCTTAAGTTTTTCTCCCACAGTTGATCTAAAGTGTAGAGGGGTGAGATAATGAAGAGGGCATACCGCTTTCTGCTTCTGCAAACAACAAGAAAACATTATAAATCATACATAGACTGGGAAAAAAAAGGAGGCGAGGTGTCAGTCATCTGTATCTGCACATTAAGATCAGAAAATGAAAAAAAAAAATCAGTCAATCTCCAAAGTAGAGGGCAAAACAGTCACTTTCATCATAAAACCCCCCCCCCAAAAAAACCCGCTTCACATTGGTTAACTCGTCTGTCCTACAAAGGAAATATTATGGTCTAAATCCCAAAGTGCGCTTCCAAGTTTAGACCAGCCCAGGACACCAAATTGAGAGTTACACTAAAGTATAATGTTGTGCCCTCTAAAGGTTTTGCCATTATGTGAGGTTTGGTAAAGTTATTAACCAAAGTTTAACAGCCATCCATTAGAAAGTAATCAAATTATAGGAACTGTATTACACCGAGTGACAGTAAAAAATAACTTTAGTTTTACAGTCGTTCGTTGCGTGTGTTGTCACGAAGAATACTGGACATGAGTGGCACGCACTATAACGTGATATTGAGGAAAAACAAGGTTCTGTGTTACACTTTTAGCAGGTGATTCATAAAGAGTGAAAAAATTTAAACTAGTTCATAACTGTTCTGAATACAGATCTCTCTGAGAGACAATACGGCAAAACCGGGTAGTGGTAGGCGGTATGGGCAAAATCGTATATCACAGCATGACTCATTTTTAACATGGTAATGGTATATATTACAAACAAGAAAACTGTTAATATATTAAATCACCATATGTTAAAAGCTATTTTGAGATAATCCAGAGAATTAAATACTTCACAAAAGAAATACAATTCATCTCATTTGATAATTTTGTCTTTTAACTTTGAATTTATTGGAAAACCTAAAAAAAAAAAAAAAAAAATCATACTTCGTCAATGCAACTGAATGGGAAAAAAAAAACATTTGCATTATGTCACGCCTGAATAAAAAACAAAAGATTCAAAACTATAAAACTAATGTTATAAAATGGATAGTTAAGATTAAATTGACTGGATGAGCCACATTAAAATACCCCTTAAATATTAAAATACGTAAAATACTCATTGGCATTCCATATAAATGCTCCTTGCAATGTTGCCACTGTAAACTCTGCATTTTGCCTAACAAATATCACTTAGCAAAAACAAAAAAGTGTTTTTTTTTTAAACTTGTTTGGCATACATCCCACATTTTATTGCATGGACTGCTCTGTGACACGTAGCTGTCCTAACCAATATATCCATCTACTGTAAAATAAATGGTAATGTAGCATATTTACACACATTTCTAGTGTTCCATAATATATACTGTCATACCACCAATCCCTATTAAAAAACCAGGTCTTCTGGCTGATATTTTGGTGTGTGTGTTTTCAGGCCAACTTGTGTTCTAAACCACACTCATTAGTACACACTGTACACAAAATGCATTAGTAAGAGTTACAGTGTACAGAAACATTGGAACACAGGTTGTGGATGTGGGAAGGGGTGGTGGGATTTGGCAAAGTCGAAGTTACTGAGACAGAGTACTTCATGTTATTAGTTCAAATGGGTCACTTAACAGAATGCCACAAGAGTGCTATTGATAGAAGGCTCTTTACTCGGAGAGTACACCCTCATCAATACAGCATAGTGAGTCTGAGCAGATGTCATGGCTCTTTGGCTTCACGGTGACTTTTACAGACAGTGATCGGCAATTGTGATGCTGTGAGGGTCGAGCTGAGGCGAACTTCCTCCAGTGACAGAACATAACATGCTGCTGTCTCAATGAGAGCGATTTCAATTTGAAACCAGATTAGATTACTTGCACAGAGATTTAATGATGAAAACCTGCCAGCCTTTTCTTACAACATAATGTCTAGCAAGTAAAAAAGGATAACTATACTGAAGGGGGTCTACATGACCAATGAGGGACACAACTGCTTTGCCCCTCTTTGGTCAGTGTATTGTGAATGGTGGAGTTGAAGACCAAATGGGAACAAACCTGCTTTCCCTCTGCTCTGACTTGTACTCAATAGCGATCAATAACAACTTGAGCTTCACATAGCACAGCCTGAAACAAAGAATAGACATTTAGTGTGCTGAAGTCATCATTTAGCTATTTAAATTCATAAGACCCATTAAATGGTCCTAATTAATGTTTATCTAGTGCAATCAGAAGACCCTATTACCATGAAATCTCATTGGTTCAAAATTTTGCTTTAAACATTAAACATCAAATCTGTTCCAATTGGCTGTGATTGTGTCAAGTAACGGTTTTGCATTCAGTGTGGACAAACAAAATTAGGACATGTGATAGTTCAGGTCTGCAGTAAATTTGGCAGTATATTAAAAGGCAATAATTTATGATATTTACTACAATGTGCTTGTATACAGAGTAATGACATGCTGTAAAGCTCCCATGCTTTAGAGCAGAAGCATACTTACTCACAAACTGTAGGAAATGAAAGCCCCACAAAGGCACTGGACAGGTACTCAGTGTACATTTCATTGGCCACTCCCTCCAGATAATACTTCTGCCACGTGTCCTCCTCAATCTGCACAGAAAATACATTTGGATTCAGATACGCACAGTCAGGGAGGACAACATATTTCATTTTATGGGAATGGCTAGATAGCAATCAGAACATGTTTAAACATTTTTACAAAAAGACTCAAGAAAATTATATCTGACTTAAAGGGATAGTTCACTCAAAAATCATGTTATCATTTGCTCAACTTCCTGTCTAAACCCATAAAACTTTTGCTCATCAACAAATTGAGATATTTTTTATGAAACCTGAGTGATTTATGTGTCTCTATTAAAAATCCATTCCACCAAACCATAAATAAATTATAAAAGAAAACCATATGAATCAAGCACTTTAATCCAAGTCTTCTGACAAGTCACAATTGCTTTATATTATATAAGGAATTGTGTCTCTTCAGAAGATTTTAAGATTGAATAGATTAAATGTAGGCTTTTATTCACATAAAAACACTGATCAATAACTCATACATAGAGCTCGTTAAATACGGTAAGTGGAAAGTTTGATGCAAAAAAACAAAAACAATGAGGTTTGTTTACCATATTTGATGTAGACTATGTACATGTGTTTATGTGAATAAAAGCCTAAATTAATCTGTTTTTCATATTAAGTAAATGTGTCTCTTCAGAAGACTTAGATTAAATTGCTTGATGCATACAGATTAATTTTACAATTCCTTTATGAACTTTTTAAAGTGTGAACGTTTTGGTGTAATGGATTTTCAATGGAGGCACTGAAATCAATACTACTGAAGTCTTATGGTTCTGGAATAACATGAGAGTAAATAACTGACGACTGTTTTTGGGTGAACTATCCTTTTACAAACATGTCTTTCCAAAAATCTTCCAGTGAACAAAAAGCTCTAGAAAACATAGGTTGAGAAAATGAGGCAGTGTATCTACTAAATGTATGGTATATAATTCTTTCCCTCAAAGCCTTGTTTTCATGTGCATCAAATTACATATGGCATCTACCCTGACTAAGGTGAATAATCCCAAAGATGCATTGTGCACAGTCTCATACCATGAATAACATTCATGCAAAACACAGCTTAAACATGCCTTACACTTTGAAGTTGCTCTCTCATTTTTTCACACCTGTAACATTTCAACCTTTGTCAGACTTCGAGAATAAAGGCCAGGCATATTCCCGTGTCAGAGCTCACAGCTGGTCTCTTCATCATCCTCTCATTACATGCGTCTCAGGATGTGGGGCGGGTGGGGCTGTGATAAGCAGCAGGGCTATTAGGCAAACACTCTGCCATTAGCCAGCCATCTCACCCAGCCAACGTCTGTCTGACAGACAGTCAAGAGAGACGCTTTCAAAGCCAGGCCCGACTCCCTTTCCCACTGCCAGGCTAAGAGCACTTGCATTCTGGGCAGGCATCTTTTAGGGCGGCACTAATGGGTAGAGATTTGTCATTTAGTCCTAAAGAGATGGCAGCCATTTACTGCAGGCTCCCTAAATTACCCCATGCGTTTGCGCCCTGCCTGTCAGTGCTGATGTAAGTGTTGCGGGCGTGTTCTCTCGCACCCACTGAACAATTATTTCCTCCAGTCCCTCTAGAGAGCCCGATCCAAAACCCCTCTGCTTACTGCTTTTTTGTTAAACCTGAAGAGATAAAATATTCATGCTGAACATTCTTGTGGTTTTATTTGTAGCGAACGGCACAACACATCACAGATTTATAGTTAGGACAACAGATATAATGCAAATGTGTTTGTGGCTGTGTGAATGTGTGCGTCTCTGGGGTGTGGGTCTCATTAACACCTCTCGGTAACACCCTTCTGCTCTGCTTCCTGAATGCCCACTCAAATCAGTCATGTTGCTGTCTACTCCACCGGCCCTCTCTAACCTCGCTCCTGCAGCAGACAGACTGCCCTTACACTCTCACACATTGTCTGTGTTATCTTATTTGGGTATCACTGTGCCTTATGTGAAATTGCTGATGGAAACTGACTGAAGATATTTCAGACGAAAGCCTACAAAAACACCTGTGCTGTTTAAGCCTACACACAAGCACAAGAAATGTTTGCTAGAAATTTACTATACCACTAGAGAGGCTTTGTTATGGTTGCCAATTAAAGTTAAAGGATCTACCTCACGATTATTGAACATTAAACATGTTGATAATATTTATTTATTTATGCATGCAGTAGAAATTACATTTGCATTACAGAAGCGTAAATAGTACCTGCTACTTGATATATATATATATATATATATATATATATTTTTTTTTTTTTTTTTTTCAAAATTTTTTTATGAAAAGTAAT